GAGAGAGAGAGAGAGAGAGAGAGAGAGAGAGAGAGAGAGAGAGAGAGAGAGAGAGATTTGGGTAGGGGTTAGCACGGGGTTGGTTGGCATTTGGGGGGGGGAATGTTGATATATATATTTTTCCCAGCTCAATGGCACAGAGTGTTGGGCCACGTGTCCAAACACCTGTGGACCCTAACCTTTGAGAAACAAAACGCCCCAATCTTTAATTCAACGGGTGTCTGGGGGATTTAACGGCTTTCAACGGCCGTTCAACTGCGCACCCTCGTGGTGGCAGGTCACAAGTTCAATTCCTGGTGTCTTAACATTCACTGCAGGAGTGCAGGATGCCCGCCACTTCACATTCACTGTATGTATCGCACAATGAAAGTAGAGAACAGATATTTATCCGCATTACTTTTCATTTCGACCTTCGTGCGACATGCTCTTCTTTTCTTTTTCCTCTTCTTTTTTTATTTGGACCATTTCTCGATTTACGTGTTTCATCCTTGCCTGCAGGGGCCATGCTACTCTTCCTTCTCTGTATCGTTCCAATTTTAACCGACGTCCTGGCAAACCAGGCTTCATTTTGAACTATGGCGTAACATTTCAATGCGAAGGTGGCCCTGCCAGTCACACATACAAGCGACAACGCCGCTGAAAAGACTTTTCCAGCACTCCCCTACACTCCTCGTCGATGTTTCAAAAACAAAAGAAAAAAAAAGGAAAAACAAGAAAAGAAAAGAAGAGACTTTTCCATGGGAAGTCCCCTGTGCTGTTCTTTTGGTGCCGCTGCTGTGAATAGTCATCGAAACTACAGGTAATGCTCCTTTGCAAAACTACAACAGGTGCCACTTCATATAAATTCTTTGGTTGTTCCATCTGGTACTGTGGTACCTGTGCTTTATCCGGGCGATCCGGCCGATCTTTTTGACACTTTGGCATAGGAAGGTGGTGGTGACCTGGCAGTTCGGGGAGCTCTCAGCTGCCTGACCAAGAATATCATATCGCCCGCCACTATCTCCCAGCCTATTTTGCTGAGCCTCCCACTTCCTCGACTGTAGCGCTACTGCACCCTGACAGCCAGCCTCTTCCTGAAGGTATATACAGAGTCATTACAGCCCCATCATATGCATCGCTACAGTTTTAGAGCCACTGGATGTCACTGAACATGGAAACATACACTGCCTGGTTGAATCTGCCCAACACCTGACGGCGCGGCCCGAAACAAACCCGCAGCTAAAAAAGACCCCTTTCATAAAGCCGTGCCAACACCAAATGTACCAAGCGCCCCTGAAGTGGCAGACCAAAATGTAAAAACGCCCCCCCCCCCCATGCATCGCTACAGTTTTGGAGCCACTGGATGTCACTGAACATGGAAACATACACTGCCTGGTTGAATCTGCCCAACACCTGACGGCGCGGCCCGAAACAAACCCGCAGCAAAAAAAGACCCCTTTCATAAAGCCGCGCCAACACCAAATGTACCAAGCACCCCTGAAGTGGCAGACCAAAATGTAAAAACGCGCCCCCCCCCCCTCTGAGCCCGCGCCTATTGTGAGGTTTTTCACCAGTTGTCCCGAGAGAAGACCCTGTGGGACTTCTTTTCCGTGAGCCCGCTGGGAGCGCTTTCCGAGGACCGGTTTTCCCTTTAAGTACTAGGTAGACTAGGTAGTTAGAAAAAAAAAGAAAAAAAAAAAGAACCTCATATTGGAATCCGTTTCTTGAACGTTTTTCATCTCCTCAATAATGTCACCGAACTTCCATTTCTCTGTATAGATCATTCCACCATGGGGCTGCTGTTACTCCTTTGGCAAGCCCGTCTGAGAGCCAGAACATCCATCTCCTATTTGTCGACTTCGCATTAGGGCACCCCTCCACATATCTAGAAGGGTGATGGTAGATAGCAGGAGTGGGCAGATAGGCTCACAAGTAGGGTCTTTTTTTATCCCCCCTCTTGTGGGGGGACACCATTATTTGGTGAGATCAGGGGGGACACCATTATTTGGTGAGATCAGGGGGGACTCATTGTGTTACAGACTAGCCTGGTTGACAGAGAATAGACTAGATTAGCCCTGACAGGGAGGGGGGTTATGCTATTTGGGGTTTTCTCTTTTTGTTGGTCCTCTTTCTGGTTTGCTATGTGAGGACCCGGCCTCAAAACTCTTTATTTTTTTCATGAGCAATCACGTGTTTTCTTTTCTCGTAAAAAAGAAAAAAAAGAAAAGAAAAAAAAAGGTTACGATCCGGACGTCCGGATTGCTTTGCAATCACACATGGTTGCGATCCGGACGTCAGGACCGCAGTGCAGACGGTCTGGGTCTAGACGTCCGGGTCTGGTGTATGGTCCGTAGTGTCCAGACCCATCCCCCCAAAAAAGATATGTTATCATTATTATGCAGCATTGCAGTAAATTTTTTTTTTGGCTGAGGACCATCACAAAATTCGTAGCCAAATCCAAGGAAAAAAATAAAACGTTTCTTTTGTTTTTTTGAAAAAAAAAAAAAGGTTTTTTTCCTTTTTTTTCCCCAATCCGGACGGTCTGGAGCAGTCCAGACACAGGCCTGACTGGACGTCTGGCTTGGTCTGGCATCCGGGTCCGGTGTAACCATGCAATTAAAGTTATTAAACCATAAGACTGTCGCTTGTCGACCCCAAGGCCACCTGAGAGGCAGAATATAATGACCAGAAGAAGGGCCGGCGGACGGCAAGGGGCACGTCGACAGACTTCTTTCTTCGCCTCCCACACACTCTCACCGAGTCTGTACCGGCGCACGCACCACTTCTTTTCTCTTTTTTCCCCGTGCACAGCACCTCAGATTTGGCCCTAAACACCAATCCACTCTCCTGTCCCCGTGCAGCATGGTGGCCAGGCGAACTAAAAGGGCTTAGCGGGCCTGACCCTATTTAAAAGCTACATAAAGCGCTTAGTACCTGCTTACCCTATTTCAGAAATCGGAATTAATTATTAATCACCTATCAGGAAAAACAGAAAAAATAAAAAGGGATTACTCACCTTGCTCATGTATGTCCTCCTTGCTAGCTCGTCCGACTGCAATGCTCATATTGACGATGGCAGTCTGCGACGGACAATTTTGATAGCTGTATCAGCGATCATCAAAACAGTGCAAGAAGTTGGAGAAGGAAATTGCAAAAAGAAGCGAGGTCAAATACCAATTGGTACACCCACAAACTGTCGAAAGAAAGACCCAAGTTCGAATCCAGGTGCAGTCAGATTAACAAAATTTACCTAGGGCTGGTCAGTTCGATGATGAAGATTGCTCAAGGGCATCATCGCCCTTTTTCAAAAAGAACAGCGGAAAAAGGGAAATAAGGGGGAAAAGAAGGGAGGAAAAAAAAGAGGAAGAACCGAGGTCGGATCAGCACAGAACAAGTCTTTGGGTCGAAACGCTTTGGCCAGAAGGAACTTTGAGGATATAGAGAGTCGTTAAGTCGGCAGGCCTGGGGCCAAGGGTCAAACCGAGGCCCCCAGGGCCACCAGGAGTCAATATACACCCTAGGAAATTGAACATCCAGGCGCAATCCGCGCACAGATGTCAAAGAGTCAGAAATTGCTCAGGGGACCATCACAGCCACAGATGACACACAACCCAGACGCTCAGTAGAGTTTCCGCAAGCTTCCAGGGCTCACCGTCGACGCTCACACTCGACTCCCAAGAATCTTCACCACACAGATCGAGAAATCTCAGCCATGTGAGGAGGTCACTGTAGTCAGGCCAGCCAAGTCACCACTACAGATACTGGGCCTGCCAGCCCTTCCCCAGGTCGTGCATTCATTCTGCCGTGCATGGATTCGAAGCTGAATTGTTGTTCGTCAAGCGCTAGCGCTGGAAGAAGGCAGCGACAGTGTAGCCATAGCTTGGATGCACGGTGCGCAGCACCATAGCTTTGGGGGAGGATAACATCCTGTGCACAGAGAGAGAGAGAGAGAAGGGGGGGGGGGCGGGGGGGGGGGGGGGGGGGGGGGGGGGGGGGGGGGGGGGGGGGGGGGGGGGGAATACCTGAACTACCCTGTTGTTGTTGCCGGGATTGGAGAGACAGCGCTTTGCTCCTAAAGGCGCGCATTGTGTGGACCAGTTTTATTTTTCCTTGCGCGTAATTGATACTGCATTGAAGAGTGACTTCACCAACTGGCAGGGTGTTGTGATAAACATACCGCTTGCATCGTCAGTAGAGGGATAGACTGACCCTTGTAGGTTGGCAAGAACAGAAAGAAGAACCATAGAGGAAGAAGGGCAAGGGCAAGGGGGAGAGGACTTTGTATTCAGTCACTACGATCGGAAATTAATAATTATGCTGCTGTTATTCTTCTCCTACTCTGGCTAAATTCTGGATGATAAATAAGCCGAAGGCATGCGCCGCACGGGCTTCCCTCAAGGCGGTAGAACATGAGATGTGACCTGAGATCGCGAGGCTCCGATTTCTTAAACTGCTAGTACACGGCCCCAGCCTTGCAGAAAGTTTTTGTCACCACAAGCAAAAGTCGGGAGGCGCCACGCGGCCAGGCCCGCTGTTGAAAGAAAAAAAAAGGCGGCCTAGAAAGTGGTGCGGGTTTCATGCTGACACCCGCGCGCCGCTATGTGGTGTACTGGTGCTTTAAACCAACAGGCCCGGTGATGGTTCTGCCCAGGCGCAAACTGAAAATGGTCGCCGATCACGTCTGGTTGCGATACCAGCAAAGGCTCGCGATTCTGCAACAAAAAATGAGTGGCAGTCTAACTGTCCATGATATTACAGTTTTGATGGTGACATGGACACCCAGCTGCAACGAAGACATGGCATTCCACCAATTGTTCTTTCTTTCTTTCTTTCTTTCTATTTTCTGTTTTCATAAAGGGCAACAACATTCAGATATCATTGTGACAATGACTGGCCCTAGGGAGTTTGTTTATTTCGTTCAGTCTCGATTTGAACAGTTATGGGTGTACCAACTGAGCTAGGTCCATTGGAAGGCGGAGACAATGAATTCCTGTGCATCCAATTTTCAAACTTCACGCGCATTCGACTAATAAGCACATATAAAAGGATCTGCGCAACTTCGCAGCGGAACAGCTCACGTAACTACCAATCCACCCCTGATAACATGGATCACATTCAAGTTAACTCATAACAACTCTTGAAAACATTAAAACCTTTTAATAACCAGATGTAGAACGATGCCGCATGCCTCAGATACTCCATCATCTATACAGTCCTATGTACCATTGCACGCCTGCAAAGGCTGCAATAATGCTGTAGAGGCAGTTCCAAACACGCTCGCCTTCCCTACCCTAACCGCAGAGCGAGGGCCATGCTTGCTCATGAAACGTAAATACAACATCCTAGAAATCTACAGGGAAGCTGAAGAATATTCCCGAAGAATATTTTATCTCCAATGATATAACATAAAAAAAATATATATTACGAATCGAAAAGGCCACAAAACACCAACGAGCTTACCGAGCGATACTCCCACTCATACCCACGTGGCAGCAACAACATCTCCAGCCTGAATTCTTCCAATTCGGACATTCCCCTGGCAGCAAAACGCAACCAGATTCGCTTGACAGGGCGAGCAAAAAGATGGAGGGAGTAGGTCAGACACCTCATGTACAACAAAAAAACACATGCAGTGTGCACGGTAGTTCAAAGTCGCCCATTCACATTTACTGGCCAGGGGAAACTCACTCACCTCCTACACCACTCGCTTCTCCTTCCTCTAGACAGAGGAAGACGGAGAACACATGGCCGGTCGACAATGGCCTCTGGCGCTCTACAAGGGCTTGCCACCACCCACCCATACACACCGGTCCGATGATCGCAGACAATCATGCACTCCCTGATCCAGATCTGCGTCGTTTCGACCTCTTACTTCTCCTGGGCATCGTGTTTTCTGCTCCACTGTTTGCTGGTACCTTTGCAGCAGGAGCCACATCCGGTATGACCACACTGTCCTCGTCGTCGTCTTCTGGTGATGCAGCCCTTGCCTCCTGTGCTGCCTTCTCTGCAGCCTTTCTTGCTGCTTCTTCAGCCTTCAACTGCCGGAATCTTGCTCCTCGTTCCTGTTCCGATTGCTTTGCAGGCAACTCAGAAGAAACAGCTGCCGCTGGAGTCGCCGAACGCCTAGCTGTACCTGCATCGAGGATTCCACCACCATCCTTCCCCACTACTGGCTTCGCCCCGCCCAACTTCTTCAACCATATTTGTTGGCCGGTCGTCAGAATGTTATTCGTCAACCTGAACATGACACGCAAGGAAACAGACACCATATATTTGTTAAAGCGTCATTTTTTTTCCATACTAAACAGCTTATTTAACAACCCGGTGATCTCATTCCAGCTTGGAACAAAGCGCCAAGCTCAGGTGCGGTGTCCGTTGGCGCCCTGAAGTCCGATCGCCATCTAGTCCGTTGCAGCCCAACAGACAACAATAGCCCGGATAAAGGTGCAATAGCACGTCACCCAATAGCAGAGCAAGATTCTTGGTACTTCATCAGGAATGTAAAACCAGAGGTAGCCTATCTAACCACAGGCAAGCTGATTGTAAAAAATAATAATAATAATTTAAAAAAAAAATAAAAAAAATTCAGCTACCTGATAAGAGATTTCAACACTTCTGATGCCGCACGCAAGCTGATTGTTAAAAAATAATAATAATAATAATAAATCAGCTACCTGATAACAGATTTCAACACTTCTGATGATAATCTCCACTGCACTGATGCACACTTCAAAAATACGGTACAAGCGGACTGACTGGAAAGCCCAGATCAGACGCCGCCCAGAATAGAAGCAGCTTGGGTGTTTTGGTGTTAAGAAAAAAAGAAGAAAAAAGGAAAGGCCATATCAGGCACTCCAATGAAAATAGACACAACCCAGTTTCCAAAAAACCCACCTGTGGGACTCTACCCCTATCGAAGGGATGGAAGAGACGGCGCTAGCGGAAAATTCCGAATCCTAGGCTACCCCTGTTGTCCGATGGCAGGACGTCCGGGCCCCGACAACTCCATTTTCAGCATGAAGAAAAGAAAAGAAAAAAAAAGTCGCCGGTTACAGGGGTATCTTTAACTTGATGTATTATTTAAATTTATTTAAATTATTTTTGACTTGGTAAAGAATTTGGATGTGACCCCAAGGCAAAAGTTGTTCAGTTATTTTTCTGCACAACATAGTTTTTTTTTCGGATTTTTTGGATTTTTGTTTAGCGTTCCGTCTCGGACAGACTGCCCCAGGAGGACGTCCGACCAATTGTCCGGCCGGACAAACCCTAACAACGGGCAGGGGATCCCCGCGCGTCTGGCCTGGTAACATAGTCCGAAATTCTCCGAATCTTATTTGTGTGGGGAATATCCTAATATAGCCTTGTAAGAGGGACAAACAAACACAGACAGACAAAGCTTGTCTGCATTTGTCAGCGGTCTGGACGGTGGCAAGAAGCCCCCTTTGAGCCCCCACTTTTACGGCATTGTCCGACAAACCGTTCAGAATGTCGGAGCCTTCACAGAGTTCCTGGCGGTACCTAGCGAGTGGTATGGAAATGCCAGCAAACGGAGTTCGACAAATAAACAAAACTAGAATCATATAACGGAGTTTGACAAAATTAACCAGACATGATTTGAAACATTACTGCTCTTGGGTACCAACTTCCAAGCCACTGTGTGGACTGGAACTTGGCGGCCACTGCTTGCCAGCATCGCGATTTTCATGCTTTCGTTTGTCCTTGCAAAACAGCTAGGGGACGCTTTCATAGTCGATCCGCAGTGGTACCAAAGGAAATAAGTTCAAATAACAAACCAATGTAAACCTCACCAGCACCATGCTCTCAGGATGTGCTGCTTCATTGCCCACATCTACGGGAAGCCATTTGCACAACGACCGTAGTTGCAGTTGGAGGCTTCTTGTGCCCAACTTTGATCGACTACTGTAGCGATCACAAGCTTGCCTCCTGGAGAGGGGCGACAAGCACAGACCCCAACAATAAGGCCGCACGTCCAAATCCCATTTGTTGAAAAGAATCACAGACTTTTTGGCAGGTGCTGGTAGCCGGTGGGTAGAACTGTAGAAAATTGCGTAGCACACCAAACGTGTTCGGAGCTTTCGCGAACGCACATTCGCACGAACGGCTCGCGAACGTGTTCGGTCGAACATAATTTTTTTTAATAAAAAAAAGAAAACATTTAACTCACGTTTGGCTAAGAATTTGAACATGACACCAAGGCAAAAGTTGCTTGTATTGTTATTTTACATGAGATTTTTCTGAGATCTTTTTTCCCCCTTCTTAATATTTTTTTTTATGTTCGCGCTCGTCGGGGGGTTTTGTGCGCTCGTTCACGTTCTCGGACGAACATTGCCGTGTTCGCCTCCCAACGCGAACACAATGCTACGTAGTACGTACCTGTAGAACATGATGAAAGCACTACTTTGTACTGTGTACTCAGGAATGGCTTATTTGTAAATCGTTAAAATCAAACATTGTCTTCCCTTTCTTTTTTGGGGCATTGGGTATGGTGTTTCCACACAAGTTTAGGCAGTATGCCAGTGCACTGAAATTGTGGGCTTAGTGCAACAGTGACCCGGAACTCGGCAAAAGCACCACCCTTTATTGCACTGTATGCTTGGCACTAGATTGCACACATCAAACATTTTCCCTTCTTTCTTGTTTTTAGAACCTTTTTCTTTTTTTTTGGCCTCTGTTTTCCCTCTGGGTTTAAGCAACTTCATTGTGGGTACAGTGTTTTGCACCAAAGTCTAGGCTGTTTGCCAGGTCTAAGGCGCCCCTTGTACTGAAAGGCCGTTGGATAGATGTGAACTTCTGCCGACTGCTTCAATTGTAGATCTTTATCTCCAATCCTAACCTCACCACCACCTTTCTACACACTCCTGAACGCTTCCAATCCATTCGTCAAAGTCTATATTGTTGTCCCCTCAAAAAGTCTATATATCGTCAAACAGAGCTGCCTGGTAAACCGTAGGCAGAGAGGGACAGAAGGGAGAAGAGGACAACAAACGGGGGGCAGTGACAAACTGTTTCGTTGGAGTTTCACCTACTCGTCAGGAGGCATATACGGTACAACCGTGGTCAGGGAGCCTTCGGCCTAGAGGGAAGGATGTGTTCAGTGGGTATTCAATCTATTTCAATCTATTGACGTCATACTTGCAAGCGCACGTCGTGCGGGCGGTTCCCTACGTGCGGCGCACACACCCAACCGATCCCGTGCGGCGCACGACGTGTGCGGGGAACGACCCATCACCCCCCTCGAGAAAAAGAAGGGCGGGGTCGAAATGGTGCGTTTGAGGCCCCCCGCCAAAATTATAAGCGAGATTAAAAAAAAATTCACAGGAGTACTGCCTCACCTTGCTCCTCCTCCCCTTCCTCATCCTCCATGTCTCCTCCTCCCTTCTCCTTTTCATCTCCTCCGACTCGTCCTCCTCCTGTTCGTCCTCCTCCTCCTGCCCTTCCTCATCCTCCTTGTCTCCTCCTCCTCCTCGTACTTCCTCATCTTCCATCTCCCCTTCCTCATCCTCCATGTCTCCTCCTCCCTTCTCCTTTTCATCTCCTCCGACTCGTCCTCCTCCTGTTCGTCCTCCTCCTCCTGCCCTTCCTCATCCTCCTTGTCTCCTCCTCCTCCTCGTACTTCCTCATCTTCCATGCCTCCTCGTCTCCTGTCCTCCCCTTCCTCGCCGTCCATGCCTCCTCCTCCTCCCACTCCTCCTCCTCCTCCTGCCCGTCCTCTTTTCCCTCCGTCCATCTCTTCTCCTCCCCCCATCTCGACTCCTCGTCGTCCTCCTTGTCCACATCCTCCTCCTCCTCTCCATATCCCCCTCTCCTCGCCATATCCCCATCTTCCTGTCATACGCCCCCCCGTTCCCCCTCCCAGAAAAAAATAAAATAATAATAATAAAAATAAAAACCCTGCACGATTCCGCACAGGCACCCCCCGCACGGAACTCCGCACGAATGTGCGGCTCGTGCGGTTGCAAGTATGATTGACGTACATTGATTTTCACATACCGGTGGAAAAGGAAATCCAGAGTGACACTCCACAGAATAACATGGAGCCAGGACTACAGGGATCATACGGACCTGCTTTTTTCAACAAAAGAAAAGAACAGAAAAATAAATAAAAAATAACAACATATAACCAAAAAACAAGGTGACACAGTTTTCATAAGGCCACTCTCAGCCAGTACGACATTCAACACACAGACACTGGGATCAGAACCTCCCCCTGGGCCCCACAGGCACTGGAAACAGCGCAAAAATACTCAAGCATAGGTGGGAGAATGGAGGCAAAAGCAGATTGAAATTTTGGAAAAACGAAAAACTAGTGGAGAACAGGAGGAAATTTCCAAAACGACGGTCTTACCAATAAAGGCTCAAGCCAGAGGGGACTGAAAGTGCAAAGTAGCCAATCATGAGGGGCAAAAACTTCAGAATCGCCTGCGACTGCTTCTGAGCTGGATCATCCGACTGCACAATGCCACAAAACGATCGGGACTCGGCATCTTCATCATCAAAGAAAAACTACCAAGTGCACGGCTGCATGCACAACGCAAACCCCATATCCATACACAAAGTCACACACCTTTTCTTTTTTTCTTTTACTTTTTTTCCCCCTCAACCCAAACAGGGCCTCATGGTCCTGGGCCCATATCCATTCTGGGGAGCATCAGTCCTCTTCCTATTCCCCTGGCACACCCACACTTCCTTCCACTTGGCCGAAGGACCCCTGAACATCATTGACTTCTCCATTCTCATGGAACACACCTTTTTTAATCTTCTGCATACCCAAAGTCACACACCTTTTCTTTTTTCTTATTCTCTTTTTTTATATATAAAATTTTGCCTTCAATTTGAACCATTTCTCAATTTGTGTGTCATCCCTGCGCAGGGGCCATGCTAATCTTCTCTTTCTCTGTATCGTTCCAATTTCAATGGATGTCCTGAAGGACAGTCACACACCATTTCTAATCTTCTGCATGCACCATACTTGCAAGCGGACGCCGTCTGCGCGGTTCCGCACGTACGGCAGACCGCCAGACCAGACCCACGCGGCGCACGAATGTGCACCCGACGACCAGTTACCGCCCACACAACCCCCCCCCAAAAAAAAAAAAAAACGGCCCCGTCCGGTCCGGTCCGGTCCGGTCCGGGGGGAGGGTGCTGCACGAGGCAAAGCGGACCGGACTGGACGCTCGTCCGGTCCGTCCGCTTGCAAGTATGGCATGCACAGAATCATACACAAAGCAAACATAGCCAAAAAAAATAAATAAAAAAAACTGAAGTGTTTTCTCTTGAGGTCCCATGCTGCACGGGACCTCAAGAACTACCACATGCACATCTGCACAATGCCAAAAAAAAAAACTTTTCTGAAGCTTTTTCCTGACCTTCGGCACGCGTAAAGTCAACAGCACTATCTCCATCTGTGTCCCTTTCTGATTTTGACACTTTTGAGCTACATTACCGAACGTACACGTACGGGGCCTTTCCATACGAAACGTACAGGTAATATTACGGGAACCCGTGTACGCCCCCGTACAGAGGGGGGGGGGGGGGGGGGGGGGGGGGGGGGAAAAAAAAAAAAAAAAAAAAAAAAAGTGCTGCAACAGCACAAAACAAGCAACATTTGGCTGAGCGTCATCTGCAGATTCTTATGATAATTTGAAAAAAAAAAAAAGTCGTAAGGGCCAAAGGAGTGAATTGTACTCGTGCGAGGGTGTGTACAAGTCGCAACGTAGCTTTTGAGGTCCCATGCTGCACAAAAGGGCCAACAGGAGTTGGCTTGCTAATGCAGGGGTTAGCCTGGCCAGCAGCTCTTCATTTTCCCTTTTTTTCTTCCTAACTACCTCCCNCAATATCTATTCAGAACCTTACCTTTAAACAGGCAATGCAACACGCTCGAGATGGGCCATCCCAACGGCAAAAAGAATACGAGACGCAGTACATTCGTTAGTATGCTACATCGTTTTCTTGATTATTTTTTCATCAGCCAGCATTGGGAGGCCTCCCATGTTCTTTGTTTTTGCAGTTTCCCTCTTACTGTGCCTATCACGTACAAGGCTGGCCATGAGGGGGTCATCCAAAACAAGGGTGTCTAGCTGCTGCAGGATTTGTTCTGTGTGTGTGCGTTTGCATGTCTGCGAGTTCGTCTCTCTATCTACAGCGCACATGCTCAACTCTACCACCAACTTTACCTTGATACCTGCAAGACCATCATGGAACCGCCCTCAACATTCTCTCTCCTTCCCCTATTATCCCCAGAGCATCTTGCAGCAGCCCTGGAGATGATCCCTCCTCTGGTGGACATTCTCTGTTCCCTCTTTAATGCGTGCAAGGCCTCTTCCAACAATCCTCAATACTATTAAGCCCCCTCCAATGCATCCACTTCTCCTTCCATCTCAAACATGAGCAAAGCGTCTTACGACCACCAGAACACTGCCCCTGCCCTAGTGCCTGCAAAGCACCCGACACTGCCCTTTCACCACATAACATAGGACTCCTCCCGCATTCTGCTTCGTTAAGCCCATGATGCATGCAAAGATCTCCCAACCATCTCCCTTCTTGGGATACCAATCAGCACTCATGGTCCTCACATCAATACAGCCCTTGTTATGCAGAGAATTAAAGCACATGTTTCGTAAAAACACCTAGTATCAATAGCAGACCCCGTCACAATTCACCCAGATTAAGAAGAGTGCACGGCTCGAAAAGAAGAAAACGAAGAAGAAGTGCAAGGCTGGCCACGTTTGTGGGGTTGATTGCCAAGTGTCCATCACACCCGTCTACCTACAAGGCACATCGGCACGCCGTCGAAACAAAAGAGGAGCCGAGTAGGAAAGAACCAGCGTGCACCCACCAGTAAAAGTCACAAATCAGTGCATGTGACCATTTCTAAAAAAACATTCAACAAAAGCATATCCCCAGACAAAGGCTGAACTGCCCCACCATGCTAAGATGCAAGTGCCACCACCCACCAGACTTTCACCAAGTCATCAGGAGGTTGATCCCCAACAGTCTGCCCAGGATGCATTTGAATGATGGATAAGGACTCACCACAGCGGCTGGAGTTGGGAATACCCCTGAGAAAAGTGATATTCTAATGATTGTGATGATTTCACAATCGTAATGCGTTGATGAAATGGTCGTTTCATTGTTGCACTCCGGAAGGTGCAAGGTCCACCACATCTATGCACGTAAGCCTGGAATGCGTACACACCTGTTTGCATTTCAGCTGCTGCAGGTCTGCAGCTTGTGTTTTCTCTGTTTTCTTACCGATCCTCATTCATATGTGTTCTGTAGTTCTACACGGCGGGAAGCGGAGGGAGCGAGAAGAGAAGAAGTGTGGGCGGGCATGGAGGGAGGCACTTGCAACCTGTTGAAGAAAAGGGCCGGCAGGGAAAACCGACCTGCACCCAACACCATTGGTCACAAAACAATGTGACTACTCTTCCCAAAACACCACCACAAGTACCCCAGGGCTAACAAAGGCATACAAAAGCAAACCCAGACTGCCCTAACATGCCAGCAAAATGCTTACATGCTACTATGATGCTATCATAGTAGGGCAATCTGGGTTCGCTTTGTAAGCACCGCCGCCTATCCACTACTAGCAAAAAATACAACATGAACGCACCGAAGGCCCGCAACAGGACCAGAAGCTCCATCAACCGTGTCAAACCCCCCCGCAACCTCAAGAGTCCAAAAAACTCGAGACCCTCATGTGGCACCAGAAATGTCAATGCTTCAACCACTTCAGCAAACTCAAGAGTCCAAAAAACATCGCAACCTCAAGAGTCCAAAAAACTCTACGCGCTTCGGAAAAAAACCCCATGGGAATCACACCGACAGCAAACACTATCTGAGCCTCCTCACGAAGATCTCACAGCCCAACAAAAACCATGTCCACCACACGAAAAAGCTGGCGACGCATTCAGCCAGGCCAAGGAAAAGAACAAAGAATCTCCAATGCGACCGTGTGTATGCAAACATAAGCCAGTGAAGGTCAATCAATCCAGGATGCCACATAAGAATTGTCAGTTAGAACGAGCCCAATCCAAGGCCCTGAATGTACAAAAGCAGAGAGCTAGCACGATCGTTCTCTGTGTTTGTTAATGCAAAAACACCAAATATCAACGCCCGATCCCCTAAAAAACAGAAGCGATAAGAAATAAAGGGTGCAAGGCTGTATTTTTGTGTATGCATTCGTTTGCGTAGGTGGCAACCCTCCCCCTCAGCTCAATAACTCAGTTCTCTTTCTTGTGCGTTATCTGCAGAACTGGATGATTGTCAGAGACTACATTCTGGAGCAGCAACGGTAGGCCTTCGGTGATCTTCCACTGCACCACTTCGGCAGCGTCTACAGAGTCTTGTTATGTACCCGATTGAGCTTCAATCCACAACGAATGCACACGTTCCCATTCACCCATGCAATTGCAGAGTAGACTCGAAGGAGGCAAATCCACACAAAACCAGAGAGAAGACATGCACAGTGGAATCTCAAAACACACAGAGAATAGAAAAACGAATTTCAATTCTCCAATTCCCCATCCTCCTCCAAAAATCAATCCAGATTCCAACCAGAGAGTACTTTATTCCAAGAAATCACAACTGCATTGTCAACAACCCCAAACAACCAGAAACAAGTGTTCAATGAAGTATGCATGCAACTTCTTCTTCTTCTTCCTCTCGCCACCTCATACCCCTCCCTGGCTATGGCTGCCGTAGCAGCAGTAGCCCCACAGCTGTCACCAAGTGCCAATCTGAACCAGCAACCCCAATGATAGCAGCGCCAGCTCAGCGCCCGCACGGAAGTGCAGCGCTGGAAGTCCTGATGAAGAAGGGGACAACTGATCCATCACTTTGAAGAAGATGGAAGTTCCTCGTGAGGAGGAACAGTAGATATGGCTGCCAAGTAGAAAATGGCAGCGCCCAAACCCAACAACACGACTGTGGAAGCTCTCATGCAGAGCTGCGAAATAGCCGCAGTGCGATCTTCAACTTTGTTTCCCAACCCCAGCTATGGCTGGGCTTCGAAGAAAAAGATGACCTCGCCCAAAATAACGCCGCAGCGCTCCAGCAACGGAAGGGCAGAGTTTTCCCAGTCAAACGAGATGCAAAAGACCGGAACCTGATTTCCTGCCCGCTACTTCTACCCTCTACCTAGACCCACGAGTGACTCCAAAGGCGACAACCCAAGACTCAGCCGTATCTAGATGGAAACAGGGGAAAAAGGGAGCTAGACCTATGACAAGGCAAAAGGAAAAGTCCAAATGCCCTAAGACTACCAAACAGAGACTAATAGTGACAGACTCAGGGATCAAGTCCCATAGGGTGCAGCACTCACAAACAAAACACACGAGTTACAGGTCACAGGATCAAGTCCCGCAAAGCTCAAAACAAAGAAACAACACAAGCAGGGCAAAATGACAAACACAGCAAACCAAGGTTGCAGGATCAAGTCCCAACAACAACAAGATGGGCAAACTTAGCATACAGCCCGCTTGCAGCACTCTGCAATTCATTGCAGTCTGCTATGGCAGCCTGAGCTCCTTCTGGAACCGCAGCTTCCGCATTAATAGCTGACTGCCAGTTCCTTGCCAGCAACCGTGGAGGGTAACAGATGCCAGTTCCTTGTCTGCAACCGGGGAGGGTAAGTCTGCAGTGTGTGGATGTTCAGAAGACTAATGCTGCTTGTGCTCGGATGAGCAAGCAACCAGTTAAGCACACCACAAAGTCGGTTCATAAGCCGATGGCATGCTAGCCCGATACATAGGGCAGTTCGCCAAAGAGCTGGGGGGATGACCTCTGGAAAGCATATGCAGCGACAGGAACAGGAAAGTGACTGCAGCTTCGAAGTCGACAGAACTATTACAGATATATGCTCAAACGTCGTCAGTTGTCTTGTGAGCATGCCTGTGGGCGGATGGGCTCGGGCATTGGAGGAGACACAGGGATATCGTACGACTGGAAATGTCTATAGGCCCCAGCCTTACCAAATATGTTAATACGGAGCAAGCCGTCTAACAGAACGAAGATATGTGTACCGCCAGGAAGAGATGTGGACCACGATAATCCAACTCACTTTCCACTTGAGGTTGTCACTGAGCAGGAGGTGTCGTAAATTAATGAATTGTCCCGGGTTAAATTCATCAAAATGAGACACGGATGGACCACAAAATAGGTAAAAATCTAGGCTGAACCCCGGGCCGCCCGGCGACCTGGTCGTCGCCCCGGGGGGGGGGGGGCCGGGCCGCCTGGCCGGTTTTTCCGCCCGGTTGGGCACCGGGCGACCCCAGCGCATCCCAGAAGGAGGGGGGTTTCAGGCCGTTTTCGACGCGGGGGGCCTTCTTCCCCCCAAAGGAGGCCGTTGAGGCCAACAAACCACAGAAAAAAAGGGCCGGTAGGCCCGATTTCAACAATTTGAAATCGCGGCCCAGATGGATTGTTCAAAGCGGGAATCATCGGCCCTCGTCCTCTCCCCCGTGGCATTTCCCGCCCGACGCATCACTTCGCCCCCGACGCCTCACTTCAGCCCCCGACGGGTCGCTTCGACGGAGCTCCGCCATCGCCCGCCAACGCCGTCGTTGCCCCCCGACGCCCGCCGACGCCCCCCATCGCGCTGCCGCGCCAAGGTAAGTGGGTTAGGAGGAGGGAGGGAGAGAGAGAGAGAGAGAGAGAGAGAGAGAGAGAGAGATCCTTCTTCCTCTTTTCCTCCTCTTCTTCTTCTTCTTCTTCTTCTTCTTCTTCTTCCTCCTCCTCCTTTCCTCCTCCTCCTATTTCGCTTCTTCTACTTCGCTTCTTCTTCTTCTTCTTCTTTGGCCCCGTTTTGAGCCCCACTTCCCGCCATCCTCCACCAGCCGTCTTCTTCTTCTTCTCCCCCTTCTTCTTCGGCTCCTTCTTCTTCTTCAACTTCTTCTTCTTCTTCTTCTTTTTCTCCTCCTCCTCCTCCTCCTCCTCCTCCTCCTTCGCTTCTTCTTCTTCTTCTTCTTCTTCTCGTTCCCCTTCGCCAGTTCTTCTTCTTCTTCTTCTCGCCCCCTCCCCCCCCTGCCCGCCATCCCTCACACCATTTCCTTCTTTTTTTTCTTTTTTTTTCTTTTTTTTTCTTTTTTTTTCTTTTTTTTTTTGTCTTGTGCCACGTGGGGCCGCGATTTGGACCTTCCCCCGTGGCGGCCATTTCCTCCAACTTCGTCTCGCCCAATCTTTCTTCCTGCCATACTCCACCCTTCTTCTTCTTCTTCTTCTCCTCCTCCTCATCCTCCTCTATTTCTTCTTCTTCCACATACACACCTGCACGGTCTGTGACCTGTCTCTTATACACATCTAGATGTGTATAAGAGACAGATCCATGCCTCCTCCTCCTCCTCCTCTTTTTCTTCTTCTTCCACATACACACCTGCACGGTCTGTGACTTCCAATCTCCTGTCTCTTATACACATCTAGATGTGTATAAGAGACAGCTCTAGGATAGTGCAGCACAACCCCGTCTTCAAAAAAAAAAAAAAAAAAATCCTTGCTGTGTTTTAGCCTCGCCCGGTTTCGCCGGGCGGACCCCCCCGGGCCCAACCGGCCGGGCACGCCTGGCCGGGCGGCGGCCCAGCCTAGGTAAAAATGCATATTCTTGTGCTGTGCGAAGATTGAACTTTCGGAGTTGATCGAAGAACTAGACCTCATCCCTGTAGAGAGTAAGGGCCAATTTCTGGGCCAGCACTACTGCCCATAGGTACGAGTCGGCAATTTTCTGGCCGAGCATTACTGCCTATAGGGATGGATGCCTACAGCCTGATGGTGCAGAGTCCAGTACGCAGCATAGGGATAGGTGTTAGAGACCACAAACTGCAGATGCCGTTCTACGTCTGACACTGACTGCAAGTCAGAACCATTTGAAGTAACCTACTGCCCAAAACAAGGCCCCCAGACTGTCATGTGCGGTTGTGTTATTCACACATCCTGCGGAATCAGCTGCAAGGCATGATCATGTGGCAGCAGGTTAGTATACACTGGTGAAAATCCACTCCGTGTGGCGTCCAGTGGTGAAGGTAGTGAGGTAGTGACCGTAGTGTGCATTTTCTGCACAAGATCCAAGACCAGCTGCCCGCATTTTGCATGATCCACCAGCATACCACACCACATTCTGTATTATAAATCTTGTTATCCATGCTGCAAAGGAGAGGCGGTTAACGGAGGCCTCAGTGAGGGCACATTCTTCCATTTAGTGAACAATAAGCAACATTCTCGTCTTCACTAGGTGCATTTTTCTTCCTTCACTAAGTCTAGGTGCAATTTTATGTTATTTTTATTTGACAGGCACAAAAAACACACGCCCCATCTATGCTCTGGGAAGCATAAGTCTCGTTGCTTTTTGCCGGCTAGCAAGAGTTTGACAGCAAGACGCGAGAAACAGGGAGAGAAAAGAACAGACAAGAAAACGAAAGAGAGCCATCCCCACCCAACACTAGCCTCCGTGCGTTTGTGTAACGCAAGACTGCAAAAGATGAGCATGAGGTAACAGCCCCCCTTGGGAACGAAGGCAACACGAGAAGCGGACGAACGACATAAAGAAGCAGAGAAGGCAATGAAGTTGAATGAACTCATCATGGAGCTCTCTCAAGTCCAACACCGTCCTGGACAATTCAAACTATAAAGAAACGAAAATGGGAAATCCAAACCAGTGAAGACTGTGAAGGACAGAAGAAGTGCTAAAAAAAAAAACAGATGAGTTGGATGAGAACATCCAGCGAATTTAACCACTCATTCTTCCCTTCTGATAAGAAGATAGGAAACAAACTGACTTTTTTTTGTGATACCAGATTGGCAAGCCTTGCGGAACACAGCCGCATGGGGCTTGCTTCTCAAATCACATGCAAGAAGAATTGAAAGAAGAATCTAGAGGAACAGCCCAGACAAAAAGAAAAAGGAGAAAGGACTGGAAAAGGAACAAACAAAGGAGGTTCACACTCACCACAAATGGAAATAACCATCCCAAGCCAGCGCCTGAATTCCTTGCAGCTAAGGACGTCGGCCCCGCAAGTGAGGGTACGAAGAAGAAACCCTCTGTAAGAAGACCCTATGCATCCCACCATTACAAAAAAAGCACAACAGTAAGAGCAGAAAACACAAAAATAACAACTTCATTTTATTGTGACAGCACCGAGCGCCCGTTGCACTGGACAAAAGAGACTATCACAACCCCCACCCTTTGTGAACATCTTGAACACTTCCAAATATATTTCAAATAAGTAATCCGCTTAGTCCATAATAAGAATAGCAAGAAAATACCAAAAAGCAAAGGAAGAAAACAAAAAACCAACACACGTTCTCAAGGCATCAAGCTCCATCATGACCCCCTAGAGAAAAAGCAGAGACAACCAAACTCATTCATAGTCTCTTCCATGCCTTATTAATTTATCGCCAACGGTGTCCAAGCAACATTATCCATGCAAAATACCGCCAGCACGTCAGTAGCTCGCTTCTGGCATGCCTCGCTTGCCGGACAACTGAGGGCAAGACTGACGAGGAACAAAAGTCATGTTAATCATCAAACTGGTTTGCGAGTCACTGAAGCACAATCACTACCTATTCTCCGCCCCCGAAGGATCATCCTTTGATTCCTTTCCTTTCACAACCAGAAACTTAGTTCTAACCCAAAAATTGCACTACACAGAACACAGCATGCAACAAAACTGAAAAAAAACTAAGCCCTGAGAAAAGAAAAGACACTCCAAGAACGCTGGGTGCCATGTTTGACGAAATTGACGTTATGGAAACATGCATCGGATAAACATGAGAGTATAGCATGATATGCGCCAACACATATGCGCACACGCATACGCACCAGACTTGTGCGCACACGCATGAGGACCAGACTGGTGCGCACACGCATACGGACCAGACTGGTTCTACTGGTTGTGTCTGCACTATATACAGTCAACAGGAAAAGCTTGGCGTTGGCTGGAATTCAAAACAACCCCAAACCAGGTGGTGTGAGGAGGGTCTCAACTCATGACCGTGATGATCGTACCCGATTCAGTAAGAGAAACAGGCCTGCTGGTCCGGAGAGCTTTGGGATCCCATGGTGAGGGGATGGAGCAGCCGAAGAAAAGAGAGCTGGCAAAACGAGAGATGGAGGGAAGGATTTTTTCTGGGGGTGAGGAGAGCAGCTAAAGAATAGAGGACGACTTGATATGCATTTTACGAAATTTACGAAGAACACACAAATGACCAGCTGACATACCTCATTAGCAACGTTTGTCAACGCTCGGTATAACCCGATCCACACAGGGAAAGTCGCGAGTGTCGGTAAGCAGCCTTTCGTGACGTATACATAGCAGAAGGGAAAGAACAAAGCACACGTGCACAACAGAAAAAGATACGAACCATGTCAGAGCCAAAGGGAGCCAGGGCTGCAAGGAACAGGGGAGGCAAGAGCCAACAAACAGACTATGCGCGAGTGATTTTCTGACCAGTCCCCAACAGTCCTTCACAAAACTACTTGTTTTGCGTCATGGTTACTCTTCCAACCTAGCAAGACTTGAAAGGGGAAACACCATGCTGATAACCTAAGGCCGCAGAATGCCGTCACACACCACCTCATTTTACCGTCTGGCCGCAACTACCGTACTGTCAATTGAGCTACACCTTCCAAGGGATTTCTAACCAGGGGCTATTGTAGAATTTGGTAGGTTAGAGGGACTTGTATTTGCAATTTTGCGCCAAGGGGGTTTCTATTCGGTCTCACAAGACATCCTCATTCCTATCTGCAGCAACAATTACAGAAGTCAGGCAATCGTCTTAGGAAGACCACAACCCCCCCGTAAACAGCACAGCACAACTTTCCTAATTAAATGGGTTTCACTTCTGTGCTTTCACTTTAACTAGACGGGGTTCCGCTTCTATGCTTCGGCGGACAATTTTCAGAAGCTTAAGGTTACTTTCTAGGCAGGTCAGGTGCCCACTCTCATGCCAACCCTCCTGGGCAGTGTGTCCCAGTTCCTGGCCCTACATGAAACTAGTCCAGGGCCATTTTCTGGCAGTAAGGCCTTCCCTAGCAGGGCTTAAAGGCCCATCTTGGCACTATGGTCAGAAGCAGTGCAGGCTATCTGGTCGAGGAATTAAAGCAGTGCTGTTTACCAGCTGTAGTACAATCGGTTCTTCCGGACCTTTTGCTCCGCAGGACAAGACGTGGAAAGGAAATTGGTGGTACAGTAGTTCATATTTTTAATTTTTGTCTTCATTCCTATAGCGGCACAAGGCGAGCAAAGCCTCTAGCAGCTATACAACAGCAGGCCCTCCATCATTTTCCCATTCTGGACGTGCCCGGTATTTTCAGGTGTTTTGGATAGTTTTTATTTTCCATATGCCCCCTTATCAGTACTTCCACAGCCTCAGATCCTTCGCATGACAGCGCACCGATTTGAACCCGCAACCTTGGCCCCAAGAGCCAAGCATCGTAACCACTGCAGGCATGACACGGTGTTCAAAAGTGGAACCATACCAGTCGTGATATCCGCCTCACCCCTGCATGGCTGCAGTGCCCTTACACACACACACACACACACACACACACACACAACACCACAGACGGGATTCTCTTACACAGATGCTCTTGATCCAGCACATGACCCTCAACCACAAGGGGGGATCTCCTCCAATGGCCACCCACTCCTGGTACGATCTCCAGGCAGGTTACCAAGGTAAGGACAGATCCCTCTGCATGACCACACATGGATTCCAACTGGCAGCCTTGGCCTCAAAAAAACAAGCATCATAACCACACCAGGTTACGGGTCCGGTACATTTTGGCAAAGTAATGGCTGCAGCCAAAGACAGTACCAGTTTAAACTTTAAACACAGTCCAATTCCGTAGAAACTAGATTCCCTTAGTCGGGACACAGCAGGTCACGAAATTTTGGCATAACGCATCCTGGGTGACACGCCAGTTCGTCACTTCTGGAACGGGCAACCACATAGGTATTGAGAATTCTGAGGCATGCACCGGGATGGAAATCCTTTGACATAGGCGGGTTGGAGGCAAGGCAATGTTGCATGGTGTTTGAAAGGTATATCATTGGAAGGGGGGGGGAATGTTGAAGACAACAGAATGATATCCTGAAGGAGGCAACCAAACGTAACACGTGAAGAGCTGGAGGCAAACGAGCAAAACGCACGAAGGAAGATGGCCATGCTCCATGAAGGAGAGGCATGGTCTTTTTGGGAAGTGTTGGGAAAACGCATGTTTTTTGCATATCTCACTCACTCATTTCTGTCTCCCTCCCTAATGACAGTCTGTAAGCCGCAGTTCTCTCTCTCTCTCTCTCTCTCTCTCTCTCTCTCTCTCTCTCTCTCTCTCTCNCTCTCTCTCTCTCTCTCTCTCTCTCTCTCTCTCTCTCTCTCTCTCTCTCTCTCTCTCTCTCTCTCTCTCTCTCTCTCTCTCTCTGTGTCTCCCTCTTCTGCCCAAAAGCCAGTACGCACAAAGTTGGAAATGGTGAACAAGGCATGTGAAATTCCCATTTACATTTCAAATGAGTCGAGTTCCGGCGAGAGCATCGTTGCAGGGCAGTACAGGTCACTGACACAAAAGTAATTGGCTTACCACCTTGCCCATCATAGTCATCATCATTGTCACCATCACCATCACCTTCTTCTTCTCTTTGCCGCCTCCTCCTTCCCCGCCCCTCCTCCTCCGTATCTTATGAATGCTAACTATATGACGTACACCATACACTGCTCCTAGGCAACCCAGTTACCAAACATCGGAGGACAGGCACTTCCGCGAATGAGCCAAGGGGGTTCAGATCTGGCCAATGTCTCTTTTCACAGCTCTCAGCATGTCCACTACATTCGAATTTTATGGTCTGATTCGTAGTGTATGCGACTAATAAGACTAGGTTCAGTCCTAGGCTGTGGGATCTAACTCATGTCCATGGGATTCAGCCCCATGCCAATATTGCTCACAGGATGGGCGGCTGCAACAACTACTCTGAAAATAAGTGAAAAATTCCCGAGCAAACAAGAAAACAAACAAAAAAAAGAGGTGGCGCTGAACTAGACCCTCCATCAAACCACCAGTCTGTTTCCCACCTATCTCATTCCAACCTGCTGGTCACCCAGCTGCAAAATCATGGTTCCGCAAAGCAAATAGTTTGTGCCATTTCGGCAGTAATTGGCATGCGACAAAAAATCCGCCTCAGGAAAAAGAGGCTCGGACCACCAGTCTGTTTTCTCAGCTACATGAGCCTCCAACAGTTTTTTCATCACGGATGAATTTAACTGGGTGCAGACAGGGACGAACATTTAGAAAACAGCCAGCAACTTAACCACAGAAAAGAAATGTCCAAGGCTCGTCCCGGTGGTGACCTGTGGGGTGAAGCCCCCGTGTGGACGAGGGTCACGTGCTGGACTGGAGCAAGGTGTGAGAAAATTGCCTGTGTGGCATTGTGTGTTGTGGATTTCCACCACAACAGTCCCTATGCCACCCAGATGAGTAGATCCAAAATACATGCAGCTGTAGACAGTGAAGCACACTTGAGATGAGCCATTCCAACAATGAAATTTCTATAGCAAGCAACACAGGGAGCAGAATACATCCGTTATATCCCTTTCTTGACTTTCTTGACTCTGGCTTTTGTTGTGTTTGTTTTAAATTTCCCCCACAACAGCCCCAATTCCACCCAGATGAGTAGATTCAGAATCACAGCAGCTTTTGTCCTCTTACAGATCATGACAGCACAACTACACAGTTTTTTGGTTTTTCTTGGGGTACCCTTCCATTTGTTCTCGCAGCTACCCTCTTACTATGCCTCGCACGTACGAGGGCTGCCCACGTTGATTGTGGTTGAGCGGCAGCTGCCCACATCCCCATGTGCCTTAACGGCCCACTTGCACCTTATGAAAGGAGGCAGAGTAAAGAGGAAGGTATACTCCTGTTCATTTCACTTCAGATCTTCAGCTTATACTTTGTCTGTTCTCTTAATGGTGTTCATTCGTATGTTATATGCTAGTAGAGCATAAGGGGATGGTAAAGGGAAAGGGGTAGGAAGCAGAGTTCCATACGGAGTGAGGGACTGGAGAGGGGGAAGGGGTAGGAGAGGAAATGGAGTGCAAAGGACAGGACAGAGAAGTGACGAACCTCACAGGATTCTAAATACCCATCGCCGGAGCAGACTACTCGAGAATGGCACATGAGGTCAGTCAGTGTTTGGGTTGCATAAGATTTTGAGTTGAAGAGCAGCCATTGCCTATGGTAAGCAGCCCCCCCTCCAGACCGGACGGGACCGGTTCGGGTGTGGACTGTGGAAGCACCGCATCCAATTCCCGCGATCACAGCTGCTGCATCGAACGGCACGGCATAGACGGATGTCATAGGCTACGTGGCTCCTACATGCTAGGAACACAGAGGCACACCGACCGCAATTATAAAGACATTGCCGTTTCACTCCGCGTCTACAAATTGGACACGGCATGTCAGGGTGCCGTACATGAGTGCAGTACTGACTGTCATCATACATATGAAAACAAAACCCGGATGGGCTATCCCTTCATAATCCTCACGGCACAAGGCATGTGAACCACATCCTAGCCGGATCTCAGGCGGGTCATCGCAGAGACGACGGGGATTGATCCAAAGCAAGGGTGCTTAGCTGCTGCAGGATTTGGTCTGCAACAGATCCTCCTGGTGGTGATAACCTTTCAGTACAGCGCTCTGTAGATGGTTCATATGGTAGTCTATTACCCTCCTCAGGCTGCTGCATCTGTCGTTCTTCTGGCAAGTGCCCAACAGTGCATACAGGACATTCTAGGAGAGGATGTAACTGATGATGGCATTGGGGATAGTCCATGCAACAGAGACACATACTTTCTATGACAGCTTTCTGGAAACATTGACGACGCATGGTATGTTGCTGATATGTCAGCAGGAAAGAAGGCTGAAGTTCGCAGCTGGCATGTCCAGGCCACAATTAGGGGTTGGGAAGGTTGAGTACAAGAGAAGGATCACAATGCAGAATCCGAAGAGTGGAGATCAAGGTCAGCGTGTTTTCAATGCTGGTCCTGGCCAAGTTCATGTCACTGTACATTACAGGAACATACATGATGGTAGAGGTCACTGGCCAGAGAGAGCTTGTGAAAGTAAGTAGACAATAGATCAGTGAGCAACTGCAATCGCCATCATCTTGTTCTGACGGGCGATTACGTATGGCACTCACTCTTTCTTTTCTTTTCTTTTCTTTGAGCGTGAATCGGACTCGCGGCAGAGGCTGGCAGTGACCATCCCTTTTTAGTGTTCGGGGCAGAGACTATGGCGTGTGCAT